TTTCCTTTTCCATAAAGCTACTATGCGCTTTTGACGACATAATGTCTTTGTCCTCATAATCTTGGATCGTATACGAAAACGAAATCTGTATATATAAGAACGAGATCTGTATATACAAGATCGCGAAATCGCTATAGTGAGCACCGCTTCATTCCGATGAGCGAGTCTTTCAATGATAGCTAATAGTGCTCAATGGCGCAGACGTAGTGACCTGTGTATGGGTGGAATCATCAGGGGTTCAGTCCTGGCAGGTGTGAGTTTTGCAAACGACGTAAGGGAGCTCGCGGTTAACCACAGCGGCAATTCGTGGTTGTCGCATTCCTAATTCACGCTAATGACGTTTGATCACCACCTCTGATTGCGAGTTGAGGGTGCTTTACTACCATCCCAGATGTTTTTCGTGAAGTGATTGATACGGTGCTCAACTCACCCTTTCTGCGTGTACCAGTCTTACCACACAATAAACATCTGCTAGCAAGGTAATGATTGCTGTTACAAGATTATAAATCAGATCAACATAGAGAGATAGCACTCGTCCACATGGTTCAGGGCTGAATGCCAGTTGGCGTGTTCCAGCATTGAATGTAAAGCTACAGTCCTCTGAAAAAAAGTGAAGTAGTTGCTAAATTTAATGCTTCTCCTTTCGTAGTGAGAGGTTTTTAGGTGGAAACTTTAATTGCGGATCGACGTTTCGACCCGATCGTCTTTCTCAAAGTCTTAAAGGCAAAGTTCCGGGATTTCTGGCGAAATTTAGGTTTTCCCCGTCAAATATGCAGCAGTACGCAAGGGCAGACCATGTGCAGAAGTGGCGGGGCGATTTGACAAGGTTTAGGCGCTAGGAGCCTAGGTTGGAGCATTGGCGCCGCCCCAACCCCATGCGACCTTCCAAACAACCACATGGAAACTAGATGTTAAGTTGTTATTTGGAAGGTCGTAGAGGAATATTTAGCGGATTTCAACTGCGAAAACCAACATCAAAGCCTATGTTAAGACCATTATCGAGAACCTAGTCATTCATTCTAGTGATAATCAAATTTTTGAGATAGGAAAAAAAGCACAGGTAAATAGAAAAAATAGCGAAATTAGAAGCAATCAGTTTTCATTGCTGACTTTTTGTAGCCGTGTCGGTTGCTGGCATAAAGCCAACAGTTGCTGTAGACACGTCCAAGACACGTAATTCTCCCAGCCCTGGTTTCTAAGCGACTAACGAAGAGAAATTTCTTATTTTTGGGAGTACTTCCTGCTTTTTTCTTTAGCTTCGATTCACTTAGCACCCAGTACTTCATAGTTGAACAGGTAAGTCCCACGTTTTATCCCGGAGTTTGCCTTTAAAGGCAAAAGTCGGGCTAAATAAGGGGGGTATATGGCGATTGAAAGTGAGTATAAAAAACTGAAGAAAAACCGTCGACAAGGCCGTTAACAAAACCCTCTTTCCCACTAGCAGTGAAGGAGGCTGGCTTGGGGAAAGAGGCACGTACAAACAAGTTTTCTAGTCGTAGCGGGCCATAGCGCATAGTACATGCCCTGGGGCCTTATTACTGCGCCGTTTCGGGTTTTGAGTGTGGGAACATCTCTACGGGTGCGTAACCAAGTACAGGCATGACCGAAAGGGTTGGTTTGGTCAACTAATCCCGACCTTTGCCTTTAAGCAACCACCGCAATAGCGGAACAGCGCCAGTCTATGTTAGTAATGGTTTGTGAGCAACCAATCGAAATTTCACCAGAAATAAGCATTATATTCATAGAGCTGTTTTGCAATTGCGATGGTAGAGGAAGAGGTTCCGGTCGGGTTGAGCAGTAAATAAAGTTTTCCTCGGAAAAACCTCGCCAGGAGAAAGTTAAATATAACAAGATGTCGAGATTAAAGCTCTTCAAAAAATTCTGAAACCTGTTTCGGAGGACCACTCTTCCAAAAAATCGTCCCGTTGTTCCATTTTTTCCCTCTATGGCTTTTTAGGCCATTCTCCTTAGCGGGACGGGAGTTTTCAACCTTCAAATGTCCATAATTTTCTTCAGATTCGGTGCATTGAGAAGCGGAAAAACCATTGGAATCAACAGTATCAGTGCTTCATAAGCATATGTTGGATTATCTCGAAAAGAGACTTTCCTCCTGCCAGAGGTTTCTATTAGGACTTTTGAAGTGAATCCGCCGAAGTCACTGCCCTTTTCTCCACTTTAGTTTTTTCAAAAAGCATGGAGAATTTCTGAAGGAATTTTTCCGCTCGCGCCCTCTGGAAAATGGATACCCTCCCTTCAAAAAGCGAGAAAGTGTCGGGTGCAGACCATACACCACAAGTGACGACGGCCTTCACAAAATGTAAATGTTTTCTGCCAATGAAATGATTAGCCTGTTGCAGTTGTATTCTATTAATTACAACTATCATTTACCAAAATCAGCTATCACTATGAACCACTACTAACCAGATTTACTTGGAGGCCGTCGTCACTTGTGGTGTTTGGTCTGCACCCGACACTTTCTCGCTTTTTGAAGGGGAGGGTATTTGAGTAAGAAATCTCGCTCTGGAATGGGCCATTCAATCGTCGAGATCGCAGTGGTATTTGAAAGTGTGTCCTCTCGTTTTTTTTTGAGGAATGGGTGGTTGGCTCAGGTTTTAGCTTTAACTTTGTCTTTAAGCTAACCGAAATGTTTCTAATTATTGTTTCAATTGAAAAATTATAGAATTTTGCCAAACGCACAACAACCATATACGTACGCAAGAATAACGCTGTAGATGGCGACACTGCATATTTTTCAAAGGGTAGAACAGAGAAAAATACAAAGACTGAAATCCAGCTCGAGTGCTTCAGGATTTATGCAGCATCGTAATAGGTATTGAAATGCTGTGAATTTTGAAACAGAAAGGTTTCATACTCTACTTAAAGGCACTACCCAAGCAGAGGTCGTGTCAACACTTTCCTTCGGTCTAGTATAGAATAAAAGGATAAAGGATAAAGCATTTGCCGTTGATCAATCCCTTTTTGGGATGCGGCACGCATTCTACTTCCATTTGTACATTCGTAGTGGCGTTTGAATGCGATGTGGCCTATACAATGACTTGCGGGGCCAGCCGATGTACAAGTCAGTGTTTTTATCCTCCCAGACAAGTCTGGTACCAATTAACCGACCCCGGAGGGATGGAAGGCTTGGTTGGCCCGGGCGACTCACGACCCAGGATTTGATCCCCGGACCGCTCGCGTGGTAAGCGTGCCACTTGCCACTACACCACTTCCGCCCCATTCTCAAGAATAATCTTAAAATTTCGAAAACAAAATTAAGAC